CCACAGGCATTTCACATTTACTTGGTGCTGGCCCAGCACTTGGTACCTTTTCCATACGTACAAGTATGGTGGTTAAGAGTGAGGCTGAGCCAGGTACAGTGGTGCACACCTGTAATCACAGCAGTTCAGGAGGCTGAGGCAGGAGGATCACAGGTTCAAAGCCAGCCTCAGCAAAAGCAAGGCACTAAGCAACTCAGTGAGACCCTTTCTCTAAATAAAAGACAAAATAGGATTGGGGATGTAGCTCAGTGGTCGAGTGCCCCTGAGTTCAATCTCCATCCCCCCAAAATAAAGAGTGCGGCTGAGTGGCATTGTTTAGGTTCCAACTAGCTACTATCTGCTGTTTGGCCTTGGGCAAATTCTATAACATCTCTGGGTCTTTGTTGTTTCTTTCTTTCTTTTTTTTTTTTTTTTTTTTTGGTACCAGGGATTGAACCTAGGGGCACTTAACCACTGAGCCACATCCCCAGCTCTTTTTTATATTTTATTTAGAGACAGGGTCTTGCTGAGTTGCTTAGGGCTTTGCTAAGTTGCTGAGGCTGGCTTTGAACTCAAGATCCTCTTGCCTCAGCCTCCCCAGCTGGGATTACAGGCATGTGCCCTGCGCTCTGCAGTTGTTTCATTTGTAGAATGAGGATCAGAAGAGAATGTTTTGTAGGGTTATTGAGAGGATCAGATGAGACAGGTGTGTGAAGTATTTATCACCATGCCTGACACAAAATAAAGACTCCCTAATTATTAAGTATTATTACAAGCCATTTAGGTAAAAACCAGAAGGTCTACTTATTGTATTGTTGGAAGGAAAACCATTCTTCTGTAACCACCAAACCAGACATTTGTTCCACAATATACTGTGACCATATTTTCTGAACCCCCAAACCACATAATCTGGCAGAGATTTTTTTCATATTTGTGAATTTTATTTCATAGGAAGTATAAAAGTCATGCATTTTTTTAAATATTTATTTTTAAGTTGTAGTTGGACACAATACCTTTATTTAATTAATTTATTTTTATGTGGTACTGAAGATCGAACCCAGGGTCTGCACATGCGAGGCAAGAGCTCTACCGCTGAGCCACAACCCCAGCCCAAAAGTCATGCATTTTATCTACAAATAAACAATTGACTAACAGAGGTAAGATCATACTCAAATACATGGAGAGACGCGAATCTTCATTCTCTCCAAATGCTAGCAGGGTCTTTAAAATACTGACAAGAAATTCTAAAGTTCATTTGGAAAAAAAGTGAGTGGGTCCAGCCGAGAAGTTTTGAAAAAATAATTAAAACAAAAAACCCAGGTGCAGCGGCCCAGGTCTGTGATCCAGCTGTTCTGAAGACTTCTGGACAGGAGGACTGCAAGTTCTAGGGCAGCGTGGGGGACTAAGCAAGACCGTGTCTCAAAACAAAACAACAATTTTTAAAAGGACTGGGGATGTAGTGCAGTGGTAAAGCACCCTGGGTTTAATTCCCAGTATGGACACAAAAAACAAAACAAGGGCTGGGGTTGTAGTTCAGTGGTGGAGTGCTTGCCTAGCATACATGAGGCACTGGGTTCGCGACCCCAGCACCACATAAAAAAACTAAATAAACAAAATGAAGGTATTGTGTCCATCTACAACTAAAAATATTTTTTACAAAATACAGAATCTGTACGTGGAGAGAGAATGACTACAACTAGAATGTAATTTGGGGATGGGTGTGGCTTCTCAACAGAAATCTAAAGGGAGAAATCAAAAAGACTGATAGGTTTTAGCACATAAAAACGAACCGTTCTTCAAAAATTAAAAAAATCAAGGCTGGGGATGAAACTGCTGGTTACCGGTTCTTCTTCCTCACATGTTGAAGCACGTGGAAGCAAGCTACAAAGCAGGGTTTGGGCTGGGGATATAGCTCAGTTGGTAGAGTGCTTGCCTTGCATGCTGGGGTTCGATCCCCAGCACCAAAAACAAAATAAACAAAATATAAAGCAGACTTCTCCTGGGAGGGAGAAAGGGGCCATAGCTGGTATCCTGGTTTCCCGGGAAGTGAGTGCCTTTTGTCCTGTTTATTTACTTATTTAGGCTGTGGGATGAGTGTGTGATGGTACTGGGGATTGAACTCAGGGGCACTCAACTACTAAGCCACATCCCCAGCCCTATTTTGTATTTTATTTAGAGACAGGGTCTCATTGAGTTGCTTAGGGCCTCGATTTTTGCTGAGGCTGGCTTTGAATTTGCCATCCCCCTTCTCAGCCTCCCCAGCCACTGGGATGTGCACCACCCTGCCGGGCATTCTGCCTTTTAAAATATGTCCTAGGCTTCCTTTGTTCTCCTGCTCTCTTTCCCTTATTTCTATCCTTCCTGCATATGTGACTAGGCCCAGGAGATGTTCAGTGGGATGGCCAAAAGGTGAGAAGCAGATGGGCTGGAGAGGCCAAGGTGGAGAGATCTGGGCAGGAAGGGGGTGTAATTAACAACTTTTAACTCTCTGAAGACAGTAGTATTTCAATCCCTCTCCAACTTCCCAGACCCAAATTGGCCTCCTTGATCTGACCTGATTTATCTATCTATATATCTATATCTATATCTATAGATATAGATATAGATACAGATATTTTTTTTAAGAGAGAGAGAGAACTTTTAATATTTATTTTTTAGTTTTCAGCGGACACAACATCTTTGTTTGTATGGATCCAACCCAGGCCGCATGCACGCCAGGCGAGCGCGCTACAGCTTGAGCCAAATCCCCAGCCCAAATTTACCTATCTATATTGACTGCTTCTTTTAATTCTGGCTTCAGTGACCTGGGCCAATGGTAGAATGCTTGCCTAGCAGGAGGAAGGGAGGCACTCTGGGTGGGAGGTGGAGGGATGTTCAAGTACAGTTTGAGAACACACATTTGCAAGACAGTAGTTAATACTTGCACTTTATGCACAATCCCCCAAACAGTGAAATCCACTTCTCAGCTTACTTTTTTTCCTTTTTTTTGGTGGTGCTGGGGATTGAACCCAGGGCATGTGCATGTGAGGCAGGTGCTCTAACAACTGAGCTGCATCCCCCGCCCTCAGCTTGCTTTTTTTTTTCTTTCTTTCTACTTTTTTATGCAGTGCTAAGGGTCAAACCCAGTACCTCGCCTATGCAAGCAAGTGCCCCATCACAGAGCTACATCCCCAGTCCCAAACTTTCCAAATTTTAAAATGAACAAACAGAAAAAAAGAGAGCAAAGGGACAAAAATTCACAAAAGATACAACACAAACTGGCAATAAATAACCATGTGAAAACAATCCAGAGGCTGGGGTGGTAGCACCCACCTGTAATCCCAGAACTTGGGGGGCTGAGGTGAGAGATCACTTCTACCAAGGAGTTCCAAGATCAACCTAGGCAACACAGCCAGGCTCAGTCTCAAAAACAAAACCAAACCCAAAACAATCCAGCTAATTAGAAATCTAAGAAACACAAATCAATACAATGAGAAATAATCATTTTAAATTAAATTTGAAAAAAATCTCCAGTGTTGTCAAGGCTGTAGAAAAAAAATAGCCACTTTTCAGGAAAAACTCATAAATTTTCCTGTTAATTTAGAAAACTCTTTAAAAATATGCCTTGTTTTTGACTCATCATTTCCCTACTTCTAGAATTTTGAAATAAGACATGAATCTATAAAGGATATTAAAAAAAGAGAAAATTTGTTAGATATTTATTTGTACATTTATGTAGCCTTTAAGAATCGTGATGTAAAAAAAAATCTCTTAAAAAATTGGAGAAGATTTGGGCTGGGGTTGTGGCTCAGTGGTAGAGCACTTGTCTAGCATGTGTGAGGCACTGGGTTCAATTCCAGCACCACATAAAAAATAAGTAAAATAAAGGCATTGTGTCCACCTATAACTAATAAAAATATTTTTTTTAAATGTGGAGTAAATTCACGCTAATGGGTTAAGTGAAAAAAGGCAGACTTTATACCAGGCATCACCCCAATTATGCCAAACATGAAATAAACATGCATAGAAAACACACCGGAGGATACATATCAAACTATCAAATGCAATTGGAGGAGGTAGAAAGCATGAGGGATCTTGATGTTCCCTTATTTCCTATTTATGCAACAGATTTTAAAGTGTTTTAAAAATAATGGTACAATTCAAAATTTGCCTTTGTTGAAAGCATTAAAGGAGAGGAAATTGTATTAGCCTGGAAACCCCAGGAAGTGTTTTCTTTGGAAAGCCAAGGCCACCTGTTAGTGGGTGAGTCACTGGCACAGGTTTACACCTGCCTCCGCAGACGCCACACTGGCTGCTGCGCATTTCCAACCGAAATGACCCACGTGCGTAAATGACCACCTTAGTCGTTGCCCTGCGTCTGGCCCGAGGCCACAGGTAGCCAGGCAACTCCTGCTTTTTCTTAGTATGGGAAATAGAAGGCCTTTTAAAGTTCACAAGATCTGGCCTTCCCATTCATTCTCCACTTTGGAACAAATCCGAGGCCGCAGACCTCAGGTGCGCCGCTGCGGTCCCGGGTCCGCCGCGCGCCGTCGCGCACACAGAGGCCAGGGGTGCGCGGACGCCGGGAAGCCGCAGGCAGGCGCTGCCTAGGCGAGGCCCCAGGCTCGACGCTCAGGGGGCAGCAGGCGCCCTCTCTGAAATCTCCCTACGAGCTTCGAGCCCTTAATCCTTGAGTGCGGACCAACCAGACCCAGTGATCACTGGCCGGCCACGCGGTCGCTCAGGAGCGCGCGTCCCCTGCAGGGACAAAGGGTCAGGAAACTTGAGCCCCTGCTCTCCGCCGAAAACCCTGGCTGGTGGTCGCCACAGCAACCGGGTGCGGCCCTCCCAGGCAGGCCCCCGCGGCTGGGGTGCAGAGGGGTGACCCGGCCCCGCCCCGCCCCTAGGCCGCGGCCGCCGAGCCGGCGACTGACCCTCGGCAGCTCCTGTAGTCACGTGGCGCTGGGAACCCGGCGGGGGGGAGGTTGGGGACGGGCCTGGCAGTTGTGAACTCGAACCTGCCGCTGTCGCCGCGGCCGGGCTGGGAGCGGGCCGCGGAGGCCGGCCTGGGGCTCCATGGACGGGCGCGGCGTCCCTGCAGAGCCTGCGGGAGAGGTACGGCCCGGACAGGGGCGCGGGGGGCGCTGCGGGCCCGCGGGGGCGGCTCCACCTGCGGGGCGCGTGACCGTGAGTGTGCGCGGCTGTGGGTGTGCGGGGGGCCTGCGGGCGGGGGCGAGCGCACCTGCGCACAGGCTCCGCGGGCTGCAATGTGCGTGGGACCCGAAATGGCTCTGTCGTAGGAGCGGGACCCGCGTGCCCGCGAACGCGGACGGAGGGCACGCACCAATACAAAAGCGGGGTGTCGGCCTTCCACCACCCTGGGCCGTCCAAGTTGCCGAAGGGGATTCTGGCCGAGTCCTGGTCACTCTGGCGCGCCCTGGGCAGCCCCATGGGAAACAGGCCTGGAATTCCTGTAGGGAGAGTGGGGGAAGGGGAGCCAGCAGGGAGTCCAGAGTTACTGCTCTGGGCCGGCCTTTGGCCACCAGGAAAAGACCCCTGCCACCGAATAGAGAATTCGTTCTGTGACCTTACCGGGGGAGGAGGTGACCCCCCCAAAGGCAGCAATGCGCTTCCTTAGTGAAGAGCGACACTCATTTGAACATTCAGGATCCATTAAGGTCACTGTCACGCAGGCTGTGGGGCTTAAGGCTGGAGCTGTGGCTTTGTTGGGGGAGGGTTGGACACTGGTGAGGACACAAGATGACGCCCCAGAACGCAGAGCCTCACATATGTTTTCTCTCCCCTCCCCACAGGTAAGGCTGGCCTCTCTGCAGTCAGAGGTCTGAGCTCTGCCATGGGGGTAGGGGTGTCTTTATTGCTGCAGTTTTCTCTGACATCTGGGGGCTATCGGAGTGTGGGCCGAAGCAGGCGCTGCAGCGGCAGAAGTATCCCCAAGAACATCCCCAGGAAAAGCTGGAAAAAGCCTCATCCCCAGCTCTGCAATCTTCAGGGTAGAGTCTGGCCCTTGTGTTCCCAAACCACCATACAGCCCCAGTGCTCAGTCCTCCCCATCAGGGCAGAGGAATAGGGCCTTTGGGCGAAGGACCCCTTTCTCATCTTCCTGTGTGCTCATTCAGTCCTCAGAGGATGAGTCATGTCTGTATTCCCCCAGAGAACAGACTGTAGGGAATTTAGGGACTGTGTCTGGATAGAGCCTGTGAGCAGGTACAGGAGGTCCCTTAAGAGGCCAACTGCCATCCCAGCCTTCATTCTGTGTAGGCGGCTCTCCAGCAGGAATCCGGACTCCCCAGAGCGTGGAAGAACTGAACATGGGCAGCCCTTGACCAGGTTGGGGCAGGACTAGGCAGGGGACAGAGATTATCATCTCTTTCTTTCTCCCTCTTTTGCCCCACTAATCCCCAGCACCCCAAGGGAATCAGAGCCAGGGATTGCTCCCTCCCCCCAGGGCAACGGTCTGTGGGTGTTCTTTGGATCAGGAGAGCTCTGCGGTGTACTAATAATGTGTGTGGGTGGAGGAGGACAGGCGGGCAGATTGTGGGCAGTCTGGACAGGCGGTGGCCTGGCATTAGTCTGTGCTGGGAGTGGTGCCCCAGGCTCCCCTCCTGTCACCAAGTAAGGCTGTTCTCACTCTCCAGGCTGCTGCCCAGAGAAGCTGAGGTTGGTGAGGCGTAAACTGCCTCCCCTGTGGCCTTGCAGGAATGAAAGGTTATAGCAATTTATTTTTGCAACATCTTGCAAACTCAGGTCTTTGAAAGGAAAAAACACTGCCCTGAAAGTTTAGAAGACCTGTCCCTCAGTCCTGGTTGTGCTCTTGGTTTATAGTGTCACCTCAGGCAAGGCCCATCCCTTTTGCTGCCTCACACTTGCATCATCTGTCAACCAAGGCACTCAGTGACTGCTCAGCCAGCCTCACCAAGTTGCTCAGAGCTCAAATATGGCAATAGGAAATAGCAGACACATGGAGAGGCCACAGGGAAGCTTTGAAAAGGCACAGGGCACTGTAGGGAGATGTGACCATATTTTCTGGTGAGCCCTGTTTGTGCAGCTGACCCTGGAAGTTTACTCACCTCCTGACACTGGGGTAGCTGTCACAAGGGGATTCCAAGAAGTGTCAGTATCTCTCCCTTCTGAAAGTTTCCAGGGCAATAAAGATACAAGATAAATATCCTTGAATGTTACCTAGAAATCCAAGATGGAAATAAATAACCTACAAGGAATTAAGAGAGTCTAGATTGGTGTCAAGGGCTCTGGGAGTCCATAGAGGGTGGGCTGCTCTTGGGGTCTGGGGTCTCCTAGGAGGAAAGGAACTGGGGTGGAAGTCTTGGTCTCTGGAGTGACTCTGCTTTTCCACCCTCAGCAGAGGAAGAGCCAATGCTGGAACGGCGCTGCAGGGGCCCCATGGCCATGGGTCCAGCCCAGCCCAGGCTCCTTTCAGGGTCCTCCCAGGAGTCACCTCAGACCTTGGAGAAGGAGTCCAGCGGGCTGAGGCACCAGGGCACTAAACTGGCCCAGTCAGGCAGTCAAGCCCTAGGCAGGGCCCGTCGCTGTGCCCACTGTCGAAGGCACTTCTTGAGCTGGGTGGCCCTGTGGCTTCATACCCGAAGGTGCCAGGCACGGCTCCCTCTGCCCTGTCCTGAATGTGGGAGGCGCTTCCGCCATGCCCCCTTCTTAGCACTGCACCGTCAGGTCCATGCTGCTGCCACACCAGACGTGGGCTTCACCTGCCACCTCTGTGGGCAGAGCTTCCGAGGCTGGGTGGCCCTGGTTCTGCATCTGAGGGCCCACTCGGCTGCAAAGCGGCCCATTGCTTGTCCTGAATGTGAGAGACGCTTCTGGCGACAAAAGCAACTTCGAGCACATCTGCGGCGGTGCCATCCCCCTGCCCCTGAGGCCCGGCCCTTCATATGTGGCAACTGTGGCCGGAGCTTTGCCCAGTGGGACCAGCTGGTTGCTCACAAGCGGGTGCACGTGGCTGAGGCCCTGGAGGAGGCAGCAGCCAAAGCTCTGGGGCCAAGGCCCCGAGGTCGCCCTGCTGTGACCGCCCCGCGGCCTGGTGGGGACGCCGTGGACCGCCCCTTCCAGTGTGCCTGCTGCGGCAAGCGCTTCCGCCACAAGCCCAACCTGATCGCCCACCGCCGAGTGCACACTGGCGAGCGTCCCCACCAGTGCCCAGAATGCGGGAAGCGCTTCACCAACAAGCCCTACCTGACCTCGCACCGTCGCATCCACACTGGCGAGAAGCCCTACCCGTGCACTGAGTGCGGCCGCCGTTTCCGGCACAAACCCAACCTGCTGTCGCACAGCAAGATCCACAAGCGGTCTGAGGGCTCCGCGCAGGCCACCACCGGTGCTGCGAGCCCCCAGCTTTCAGCCGTGGTGCTGGATCCCTCGGCAGAGCCCGGCCCTGAGAAGATTGCTCCGGAGCCCGCGGCGGAGCCTCCACCTGAGGCCCCCTTGGAACCCCCACGGGACCAGGCCCAGGCGACCCCATCCCTGTACAGCTGCGACGACTGTGGGCGCAGCTTCCGGCTGGAGCGCTTCCTGCGCGCGCACCAGCGGCAGCACACCGGGGAGCGGCCCTTCACCTGCGCCGAGTGCGGGAAGAACTTCGGCAAGAAGACCCACCTGGTGGCGCACTCCCGAGTGCACTCCGGCGAGCGACCCTTCGCCTGCGAGGAGTGCGGGCGCCGCTTCTCCCAGGGCAGCCACCTGGCCGCCCACCGGCGCGACCACGCCCCGGAGCGGCCCTTCGTCTGCCCCGACTGCGGCAAGGCTTTCCGCCACAAGCCCTACCTGGCCGCCCACCGGCGCATCCACACGGGCGAGAAGCCCTACGTCTGCCCCGACTGCGGCAAAGCCTTCAGCCAGAAGTCCAACCTCGTGTCCCACCGGCGCATCCACACGGGCGAGCGGCCCTACGCCTGCCCCGACTGTGACCGCAGCTTCAGTCAGAAGTCCAATCTCATCACCCACCGCAAGAGCCACATTCGGGATGGCGCCTTTTGCTGTGCCATCTGTGGCCAGACCTTTGACGATGAGGAGAGACTCCTGACCCACCAAAAGAAGCATGATATCTGAGAAGGGCAGGGGCTGTGGGGGTCGGAGACAGGCCCTGGGCTCCTTCGCAGCAGGAGTGTGGCAGTGGGCTTGGGTAGCTCGTGTTGGAGCTGGTGACGGAGAGGGATGCGAATTCAGAAGGGAAAGAAGAGGCGGGAGTGAGCTGCGCCCTGTTAGTGAGGGAGTAAACCCGGATGGCCAGGAAAGCCCCTTCAGAGTGGTGTTTCCAACATTCACCTCGACTGTTCTATGCCCTGGAAAAGTAGCAATAGCAGCTCCATTTACCCTTAGTGCCCTTGGCTACAGGAGCCACCGGTGGGAAGGAAGCGTCCATCCTCTGGTGTTAACGCCTTAATGTCCCAGTCTTTATTATGAGTTACTTCAGGTCACTTTTGAAAATAGGTGTGGTACAGTCCTTAGTAAAGGAAAGCTCGGGAGGAAAAGTGGACCAGCTGGACATGCCTTGGAGAGCCTGCTGGCCTTGTCAGGCAGCTGGGGCCTCTTCAGCCCAAGAGATGAAACTAAGCTGGTTTTACCTGTGCCCCCTTCCTGATGTCCCTGCTGAAATCCCAGGCTTGCAGAGGCCCATCTACTGCCAATGATTCCATCCTCTTCCTCCCTGAAGATCACCTTCCCAGGCGTTTCCTCCTTGGACTGTCTGGCTTTATCTAATTGGCCCTCCCAGGGCTGACCCTCTTCCACTCTTTCCAAAGCTCATTGTGGAAGGAAGGACTGGCCCACTGATGCTGGAGGGTCAGCTGAAGGGAAGATCCTGGTTGAGTGTCCTTTTCAAGATTTCCAGCATGTGGATATTAGCCTTTCCTGGTGACAGGGAGCTCCCACCTCCTGAGGCCCTGGTTCTATTGTAGGATGATTCTAATTGTTAGAAATTCTTCCTTATAATGATCGAATTTTGCTTTCCTATAATTTCTATCTATTGGGCCTTGTTCTGTTCTCTGGATCTAAACAGAACAACCACTTACCCTCCTTTTCAGACTAGAGAATAAAGATTTGGTTTTAGAACTGGTGGCTGGGGAGTATTCCTTTCCCTGGGGACTGTGGAGTTGGAGGGAGGAACATGGCTCTTCTTCCTGGGAAGGAAGGGCTGTGTGAGGCTTTGGCAACAGCTGAGGGCTTCTACACCCTCCATCTAGTCCTTTCCTGAGGAGGTGGCCAGCAAACCAGAAAGTTGGGCTCAGTCCCTGGGTGGTGGGCCAGTGTTCCAGTTAACTGAACCAAGATATTGGTTCCTACTAGGTTGTGATGCACATGTTTAATCCCAGTGACCAGAGGCTGAGGCAGGAGAGTTGCAAGTTGGAGCCCAGCCTGGACAACTTGGCAATATCCTGTCTCAAAACCTAAAAAAGGGCTGGAGGTATAGCTCAGTGGTAAAGTGCTTCTGGGTTCCATCTCTAGTACCCTCCTCGATGATACTGGTTTCTGGTCACTGACCCACTGAGGTGAGTCTAGGGCCACCATTGTCATTCTCACCACCTTGGCCTTCCAGTTACTTGAGCTAGCATTGACAGTCCTTTTGGGGGACAGTGGGACATACAGACTTAGGTTAGACTTGCAGTCCCTGCTGGAGGGTTGACAACATGACAAAGGAGTCTCTGGAAGGACAGGCAATTCTGAGCAGTAAGGACAGTTCCCAGCTTGCATATCCCACACACATTGGGTGCAGATCCACATGGCCAGGTGTTCAGCCTTCTTTGAGGCCAGGTCAGACTTCTCAGGTGCCAGTTACCAGGAAAGAAAGAGAAAGATTTGATTGTGTCCTGTGGGATCTCACTGGCTCATCTGCTGCAGGTCCTTCACTGTGTCTTCCTCCCATATGGGGAGGAATATGGGGATTTCCTACATATTTGAGTGTCAGCCATCAACAAGCGCATTTATTTTTGCTTATATTAGAAATCTCTGCACTTATCCTCAGCACCCAGCACAGAGTGGTGCTTAAGAATAGCCACCATTTGCCTATGCGGGTGGCACCCCACAGGGAAGTTCCCCTACACTGCCTCATGTGATCCTTGTGCAGTGGGTGTCTTGTTTGCCTTTTCAACATGAAAACATTTGCTCAGGGTCATGTAACTGGCGGTCACCACAGGCGATTCAAGCTCAGGTCTGTCTGGCTCCTGAACCTGTCCCTTTTCATCACTACCACATACTTTTTGGATAAATTGAGTTTGCTGCTGCTTTTCATTAAGGTAAGTATTAAATGCCTACTATGTACTTGATGTGATGGAAATGGGTTTCAAAGATCAGAACTACTGTGAGGTCTCCAGACCCCTGAGAGGCTTGGGTCTGGAGAGGATGAACATAGGTACAAAGTGGAGAGATGGACAGAGGCGAGTAGGGCTTAGTGTGTGGGATGGAAGCCAACACCTTCAAAGCTTCATATTGATTTGGGGAGTATTTGGGCCACTTAGAAACCTGTGTAGTTGCTGGGTGTGGTAGCTCATGCCTGTAATCCCAGCAACTTGGGAGGCTGAGGCAGGAGGATTTCAAGTTCAAAGCCAGTCTCAGCAACTTCGCAAGATCTCAAGCAACTTAGTGAGACCTTGTTTCCAAAAAAAAAAAAAAAAAAAGTTGGGGCATTGGGGATGTGGCTCAGTGGTTAAGTGCCCCTGGATTTAATCCCTGGTACTAAATCAAAACCTGTGTAGTTGAAGGCAAGTTATCTGTCAGAACCTGAGAACACAGGACATGGTCTCAAGAACGTCCATTGGCCATCTGCCTCTTTTAGGGAATATAGAGGTTCCAGTGGGCTGAGGGGAGAGGGAATCAGATCAGGGGTTCTAACCTTAAGAAAAATCTTTTCTTTCTTTTTTTTTTTGTGATGTTGGGTATTGAACCCAGGGCCTTGTGCATGTGAGGCAGGCACTCTACCAACTGAGCTATATTCCCAACCCCAAGAAAAATTGTCATCTTAAAGGGACTTAACCTGGGTGTGAGGATGGGTATTGGGTGTCCTGTGTTATGCTGCCCACTGCTTTGGGTTGAGTTGGTAAGGAGAGGTCTGAAGGACAGAGAAGGCCACCTAGATGGTCTTGAGGAAGCTGGGAAAGTAGAGACAGTGGACTTGCCTCTGGTTCCTTCCTGAGTTTTTCTGAGGAGCCAGTGGTTCCCAAGCCCTTGCTCAGCATTCGTGCAGACAGCGGTCACAGGGGAGGGCTGGCCAGGCAGGAGGGGTCAGAGCTGTCTCAGGAGCTTCCCTTCTCTTCTGAAAAACTGGCAGTTTTTCTTTCTTTTCTTTTTTTTTCCTTCTACACAAAAGTGTTGAATTATCTTTTTAAATGTTAAGTAATGCAGACCTGTTTATAATTTTAATGTGCACCTCCTACCCCACAAGTGTTTCTCTACACTGTGGTAAGAGCTTGGGGTCTTCTCCCAACCTTTTTTCTCTTAAAAAGCCTTCTCCTCTTATTTTATTTTTTAGCTTAATGAGAATAGGTTCTCAGATGTGCTTCATTCTTTCTACCCCTGAAATGCCCTTGGCCAAGGAATGTCAATTTGGAGAAGTCTTTCACTCTGTAGAGGAGGAAACAAGCTCAGAGTGGAAGTGACCTCACAGGGTCAGTCACACTAGCTGCTGGAAGACCTGGAACTACAATGTTGGTCTCTGAAGCAGGACTGAGTCCTAGGAGCCTTTGTGGCTCCTCCTCCAGAAAGTAACCCTGTGAGGGAGACCCTGAAGGGTAGACCGCTAGTGACAGAGCTCTGTAGGGTGTGTTGGGTTTTATGAAGCACAAGTGCTTCTATCCTTTATAACCAAATATAACTGTCAAGGCCCAGTAAGATATGTGGGCAACTAGAAAATTATTAACTATTTTACAGATGAATAAAATCAAAGTCCAGAGACAGAAAAATAGCTTTTGTGAAAACTGTACTTGAAGCAAGTGGCAAAATGAAGAGAATCTTGACCCTCAATTTCTATTGCGCTTCTGAGACTGAACAGCAGCTAGGCCTGAAGCAGATGCCTCATCCCGGGTTGACTGGTTAAGGAACATCAGGTCCACCTCCTCCACAAGGCTGTCAGAGAGCAGCCCCACTTCTGTTTGTTTGAATCTTGCCTCCATAGGCAATTTCTCATCAGCTCTGCGGACAATCCTGCCAGTAGGAGTTGACCCAGTCTTGTCCCTTTTGAGGAATAAGTGAGAGGGTTTTCCTTCCAATTGGGGCTACATTTTCCCAGAGGGCTCTGGGAACTGTATACCCTAGTTGGCCATCTGGACCAGGTTAGCAGCTGGGAGATGATTCCATTTATCACAGCCCTAGTGAGCGCGGTGAAACTAGACCTGGTAACTTAACCCGATCAGACCCTGTTTCCCCAGCTAGAAACCAAGGGGTTGAATGCATCCGTTTCCACGGTCTCGCTTGGAGCGCCGTAAATATTATCACCAGGCACTGCTGGGGGTTCCCTCTGCACACGCACGCACCGGGCACGTGCACCTTCCTGCGATGTGTGCAGCACCACCCAGGGAACACAGGTTCTCAGGGAGGAAAGAAAAAGGACGACAGAGTAAACACGAGCTCGAGGGGAAGTCTCAGAGCCGGGGCTTCTTTGTGGTTCGGGATGGTTTCCCAGCACAGACACCAGTGGCTGGCAACACTCGGGGCGCTCCGAAAACGTTTGCGGAGCTGATACGGAACCCGTACGCGCGCCCTGAGTTCAGACATTAATACGCGCGAGTACGGGAAGTGGGGCGCGCCGAGGCCGAGAGCTGGTCTCAAGGGCAGGACGGACAAGGGCGCCGTGATGCCGCGCGGTCACCAGTGGCTGGACCGCGCCTGCCCTTCTCCTCACAGCCCTCGGCGCACGCGTTTGCTGCGCGGGGCCGCGCGCCCGCGGGGCGAGGTCAGCCCCCCAGGCTATTGGCTCTGGAGAACAAAGGGGCCGCCCCGCGGGCTGCTTCGATAGGGCCGGGCGTGTCATCTGAGCCGCACAGCCAATCGGGTGGCCGGACGGCCTGGGGGACGGCCAGGACCACCAGCCAATCAGGTGCGCGTGCCCTCCCCGCCTGCCCCGGGACTGGCCAGGGCCGGGAGCCCGGTGCCCAAGTCGCCCCCGGGGTGGCAGTTCCCGTTAACCTTAGCTACAAAGTCAAAGGTATTTATTTCCCCGGCCCCCTCCCTCCAAGTCCCTCTGCATTTAGGGCGGGGAGGGGCAGTGCGAAGGATGGCCGGGTGCCCGGCCCCGCTCCTCCCGCCCTGCTCCACCCGGCCAGGGCTGGAGCGGAGGGAGGGGGCGCGGGCCTCCGGGAGCCCCGCACGTCCCGGTGCACCGGGCCCCAAACTTTCTCCATCCCCACACAGCCGAGGGGGAAAGGACCCGGCCCGGGGTGGGGAGGGCCGCAGGACAGGGCAGCGAGGTCAGGAGGGAGGCCCGTAAGCATGCGAGGGAGAACCTAATGGTGAGCGGAGGGTCGCCTGTGCACCGCCCCTCCTGACCTGGTCCGTTGTTCTGAGTTCCCTGTCTGTGTCCACCTCCCCTGTAGATCAGCTTCTGGGGGCCAGTGCTCTTTGCAGAAAGACTCATAGTAGGTGCTCAATAAGTGTGCGATTAAATGAGCGGGGTGGTGGGGGTGGAACTGGAGGTAAAGAATAGTGAGAGGAAGGCACCGTAGAAGTTGCAGCTGTGTGCATGGTCTTCCCAAACCTCTGTTCCAGGAAAATGAGCACTGCTGTCAGATCTGGGTGGGTTGGGATGGGCTGGGAGGGGGCTTCTTCCTCTGTAAAGGTGGGGCACGTAGAGATGCTGCCTCCTTCAGGGCAGGATGGAGTGAGGCTGGGGTTGGGTGTGGTCTAAGTCCAAGGGTTGGAGGCTTGGAGGCAAGTTGACAGTCCAGGCTCCGCCTTAATGTTCTTTTCGAATCTCCGTGTTCATCTACAAAATGAAGAGATTAGATGTTATTTGTTCTCTTTTAGCACCAAGATTCTAATTCTGAGCTTCTAATCTGTTTTAGACTGAAATTTCTTTTATTTGAATGTACCCTTATAACAAGGCTTAGTAATGGTTACAGTGCACACGGCCTGTAGTGGGTACCAGGAGATGGAAGCACCTCTGTGTTCCTGTGTTAAAATGCTTTAATCTTGTTGCAGAGACAGAAAAAGGTCTTTTTTTTTTTGGGGTGGGGGGAGATTGGGGCAAGTGATGAATTGAACTCAGGGCCTTGTATATGCTAGGCAAATGCCCTACCACTGAGTTTCTTTTTTATATATTATTTTGAGACAGGGTCTCGTTAATTGCTGAGGCTAGCCTCGAAATTACTATCCTTCCTTAGCCTCCTGGGTAGCTGGAATTACAAGCATATGCCACTACTAGATCCAGAGAAAGTGTTGATGATAACAGTAATCCCATGGATATGGTACTGGATTGAATGGTGAATAGGTTAAGCAGAGGAGTTCCTACCATTCTCGCGTAACAGAAAAGATTTCTTGGGCAAAATGATCCCTGATCTGGGCTGAGAAGAGAAGTCAGGCAAGTTCATTCCAAGAAGAGTCATTGGTGGGTATGTGAGGACTTGACAAGCTCTAGCTCAGGAACTGGATATTGGGAGATGGAGTATGTTGGGTGCAGTGGGAGAGGTGACCACAGGCCAGGTTTTGGCCTTGACAAGAAATTTTAAGCTAAATCTGAAAGTATGAGGAAGTCATTGAATGATTTTAAGTAAGGAAATAATGTTCAAATTTCAATTTTAGAAAAGTTGGTTTGGGTTCTGTGTGGCAGAAACAGAACTTGGCAGAGCAAGATAAACAATAAAGCATTGAAGTCATCCAGGTGAGAAGTAGACTGGAACTCAGGCAGGGGCAGTAGAACTTGGAGGCATTAAAATGGTGCTGGTAGGACCCAATGACCTGTTCAGTTATGGGCTGTTGGTGCTTTATGGTAGGGAGAACTGTGGATGTTTGAGTAGAAGAGGGCAAAGTGAGTCATGAGGAGGGCACAAGGGTGCCATTGAGAGGGTTCTGGGCAAGTCTGATGCTGGGGTGTGGGGATGGAAGCCCACATGGTCAGGGCTAGAAATGGTAGAGGGCTTAGCAACAGGGACACAATGAAATCCATATCCAGCCCTCTCCTCCATGCAGAGTTGGTGGTAAAGGCCTCTAAAGATTCCAAAGCAGCTGGCAGGAGTCCTGGCTTAGGAATGGTGAGCACCAGGGCATCGTTTTCCAAGCAGCTTGGGCTTGGGAAGTGTGGGAATGG